TGTCACCACATCCAGCTAATTTTTTGTATTTTTAGTAGAGACAGGATTTCACCATGTTGGCCAGGATAGTGTTGATCTCTTGACCTCGTGATCTACTCACCTCAGTTTCCCAAAGTGCTGGGATTACAGGTGTGAGCCACCATACCTGGCCTGTTTGATTTCTTTTATCAGCGTTTGATAGTTTTCAGCATACAAATCCTGTACCGGTCTTGTTAGATTAATACCAAACTAATTAATTTACTGGAATAATATTGTAAATAGCATGGCTTTAGAAATTTTGGTTTTCAATTGTTACTAGTATTCTTTTTTTTTGGTAAATTTCTTGGGATTTTCTATATAGACTTTTATGTTATTTATGGATAGGGGTATCTTTATTTCTTCCTTTCTAATCTGTATGCCTTTTATTTTGCTGGTTTTATTGCATTGGCTAGGGCTCAGCATTTAGTCCTTCACTATTATCACATTAGATCCAGAGTGGTTTTTTTTTTTTTTTTTTTTTTAAGACAAGGTCTTGCTCTGTTGCCTAGGCTGGAGTGCAGTGGTGCAATCTCAGCTCACTGCAACCTCCACCTCCCAGGTTCTCAGCAATTCTCATGCCTCAGCCTCCTGAGTAGCTGGAATTACAGGCGTGTGTCACTACGGACTGCTAGAGATGGGGTTTCACCATGTTGCCCAGGCTGACGTGGAACTCCTGAGCTCACGTGATCTGCCCACCTTGGCCTCCCAAAGTGTTGGGATTACAGAGTGAGCCGCCACACCCAGCCAGACTGTTTTGTCTTTTTTGTAGACAGGGTTTTACCATGTTTCCCAGGCTGATCTTGAACTCAAGCTCAAGCAATCCACCCACCTGGGCCTCCCTAAATTCTGGTATTATAGGCATGAGCCACAGCACCTGGCTGTTTTTTTTTTTTTTTTTTTCAAATTAAAAATCACAGATATGGAGTCTCTCTCTGTTTCCCAGGCTGGTCTTGAACTCCTCCTGGCCTCCCAAAGTGTTGAGATTACAGGGGTGAGCCACCATGTCTGGCCTGTTGTTTTTGTTGCTTTTTGTAGATTCTCTTTATGAGACTAGGCATGTTCCCTTTGCTTTCTAGTTTGCTGGGAGTGTTTATCATGGATGAGTGTTGGATTCTGTCAAATGCTTTGTTTGAATTGATTGAGATGATCACATGGTTTCTTCTTGAGACTAATGTGGTAGATCACATTGATTCATTCTCACACATTGAACTAGCCTTGCCTTCCTGGGCTAGCCTCCATTTGGTTGTGGTATTTGTGTGTGTGTTTTAATGTTGCTTGATTCTATTTGCTGTTATTTAGTTGAGGGTTTTTGTGTCATCTTGGCATTGTGGTTGTTATTGCCGTCTGTCTTGCAGGTTGGATTTCCTGGTTCTTCACATGCAGAGTAATTTTAGATTGTATCCTGCACATTTAGACATTATGAGTCTGGTCTTATTTAAATCCCATGGAGAATGTTGATATTTTGTTTCATCACGCAATGAACCTAGCTGGTTTCAGGCCACAAGTTCAAACAGGCTTCCACATCAGTTTTGTTTCCAAAGCCTTTGCAGTAGGACTCAGATCTGTCCTCTGTGTGCACTACCCAGTGGCTAATGTAGGAGGTGGGCAGTGCCCTGTCCTTTTGTTCAGTTCTCAGTCTTTGGGATGTGAATGAGGGTCAGACTTGTACATGCACGGCTTGCACGGCTTCTTGGGTTGCTTTCTAATGCTCCTCCCTGTCCACTGTCTCTCCCGGCCCCGCGGACCACATCTCCTGGGGCTGGAAAGGAAGGTTCTTCTCCCTCAGTGTTTTAGGTGCTTGTCAAGCCCATGTCTTGGTCATGGCTTTGATGGGATACCTAGGGGATGGGGCACCAGAGAATGGAGAAGAGTAAAATAAAAACACTACAAAACCCCCCAAAACCAAAAAAACCCTGTCCTCCCAAACCCTGGCCTCCCCCAGGGAGTTGTCCTACTCCCTGGGAGCCTAAGCGACCTTTTTCTTTGCTGTCCCCTGTGCCGGGACTAGGGGACTTCTAGAGCTCTCTGTCCACTTCTGGCTTTCAGGCTGAGTTGAGTCCAGGCCCGGGATATGGGAAGAGAATCTGAAAGTTCACTAACAGTTGAGGGGTGCCTCAAATTCTGACCTTTCCCCCAAATCTGGTGTCCCTTTACCTCTCTGACCCTCAGTCTCCTCCTCTGTCAGAGGGAAGTGAGAGCAGTTCTGGGAGGAGGGCAGGCAGGCAGACGGGGCTCTCCTCTGGCTCACGCGGGGCAGCCTCTGCCCCAGAGATGGACGGGATGTGGGCGGGGGGCTCAGTGAGTGTTCCCTCAGTGACGAAATGATGCCAAAGTCCCCAAACCCTAGCTTCCTCCTTGATGCGCTGCGGAAGATGGGGGCCGCTCATCATTCCTTTCCTCTGTCCTGTGAAGAAACCCGAGAAGGCTGGATTTCTCCCCAGAGAGGACAGAGGGCAGCACGGAGGGCCCCGCCGGCCCGGCCAACCCTGCGCCTAGGTCCCTGCCAGCTCCTGGGCCGGCGGGCACCCGTCCGGCGGAGTCGGGTCGCTCTCGGGGTCGGCCAGAGTCTGTCTCCAGGGGGCTGCAGCGGAGTTTCAGAGCGCCGCGCGCACTGAGCGGACCGGCGATTCCGGGCGGTGGGTGAAGAGGGTGGAGACGGGACCCCGAGCCCCCCAGGGGTGCAAGAGGGCGCCCTGCTCCTCGGAGCCACCTGCCTTGCGCGCCGCAGCGCAGTGCTGTCGCCGTGGCAACCGGCGCTGCGGAGGGGGCGGGGCGCCGGGACCCCCGCGCTCCCAGGTCCCCAGGTCCCGCGGGGCTCACGGGCCGAGGGGCGCGGGGCGGGGCCTCTGGGCCGGGGGCGGCGCCGCGCGGGCGCGGGAGGGGCGCGGCGGGAGGAGCCGGCCGGCCCGGGCGGTGGCGGCAGAGGCTCGGCGGGCGGGCCCCGGAGCGGCGCAGCATCTGCGGGCGGCGGGGTAGGCGCGGGCGCGGGCGCGGGCGCGGGCGCGGGCGGGACTAGATGGGCGCGCGGCGGGCCTGGGCGACCCTGCACCTCCGGGCGTGGGGGCTGCTGGGCGGGGGCCGAGGCGGCCGGGGTGAGGCCTGGGGCCGGCGAGGTGGCGGGGACCGGCCCTGCGTGGGGAAGCTTCGTGGGGACAAACGGAGACGCAGCCTGCTGGGAGCGGCCCAAGCTCTGCACCGGCCCGCGGCGTGAGCGCAGCGGCCCCCTCCCCGCCCCTCCTCTCCCGGGCTCCGAGGGGGTGGTTCTGGGGCGGGGGTCCTTAGGGGGCGCGGGCAGTGAAGGGCCTGGAGGCCTCAGGGTCTGTGCCATGTCTGAGTCGCGGGGCGTGGGGGGAGGAGGGGGCCTCGGCCGGGACCCAGCAGACCCAGGACAGGTGGGCCTGGGGCTAGGTCCCTAGGGAGGGATGGCCCAGCCGGGCTCTGGCTTTCCCGGGCAGGGGCTCCTCTAGGGGCTGGAGTCCGTCTCCCCTCGCCAGCGCAGAGCCCCTCGGCCCTTGGCCCGCGTCTGCCAAGTGCCTGAGGATCGAGCAGCCGCGGAGTGGGGCCAGGGGCCGAAGGCACGGCCGGAAAGGGTGAGCGGCACCGCGGCTCCTCCGCTATTTATTTGGCCCGGATGAGCGCGGAGAGGGAGGAAATTCTCAGGTTGCGGCTGCAGTTAGGGGAGGCCCCGGTGGGCCTGGAATGGGCCCAGAGAAGGCTTCCTGGGTCAGACGTGTCGGCCCAGTGGACGTGAGTGTCCCGGTGGGACCCGGAGCGTGGGGAACGCTGGAGGCAGGGGCGTGGGCTAAGGACCCCCAAGGCACTTTCTGCGCGACCCGTAAGAGCTCCGAGGGGTGGGGGGTCCTGTGTGTGGCTGTGGGGATCCTGGGCGGTGAGTGCTGGTGGGGGCAGGGGGCTGGAGTGCAGAGTTCAACGCCTTCCCGGATCCGTGGGGGCTGCGGTGTCACCAGGGCAGTCCGAGCGCCCGACCGTCACGGGGACATTAAATTTTATGCCTTTGTCTAGACAGGGCAGCAAACGGAGCCCCAGGCCTGGGGCGTGTGGAGGGGGGCGGGCGGGGAGTGAGCCTGCCTGTGACTGTGGGGCGGGTGAGGGCGTGCGGGCCTCTATCGTCACCCAGGTGTGCGCAGGCCCAGCTGTGGGGACGCACAGCCCGATGTGGGAATCCGACGGCACGGCCATGACCCAGTGCCAGGTGTGGGACAGAGGTGCAGGGGCCGTGGGAGCCCGACGGGCCTTGGTGGACCGGCTTCCCGAGACTCGAGGGCAGCCAGAGGCAGCGCCCCGGCCACAGGAGCAGAGCAGGGTGGCTGTGCCGGGGCAGAGGGTGGGGGACAGCGCCTCGCCAGGGGCATGCGGAGCCTTGGGGAGCAGGGCAGGCGGTGGTCACGCGCCCCGGAGGGTGGACAGAGCCGGTCCGCGCAGGGAGGAGGGGCGTGGGGGCTGCCAGGCAGGGGCGGGAGGCTCGGAGAGGCTTGTGGGACGGATGCATCCGGACCTGGGTGACTCTTGGTCCCAGATCAGAAAGCCGGGGAGGGGCCGGGGCCTCCTTGGGCACTCCGAGAGCGGAGGGGCAGGCCCGCCTCCCGGCCCAGTGCGGTGGCGGCGGGGAGAGGGACGCCCGAAACTCCGCAGGAACGGCTTGGGGCCAGCAGCGCGTGCGTGGGGTCTGGGCCGCCGGAGCCAGGAGGGACAACCCCCCCTCGGGCTCCGGGAACGCGCGCGGCGGGCAGAAAACGCGTCCGTTCCGTTTCCTTCCTGGCGGCGGGAACGAGGCCCGGGTGCTCTGGCGAGGCAGCAGCGCCCCCTGGAGGCCTCGCCGCGGTTCGCCGCTGCCGGTTCGCGCATGGGCGAAGGCGTGCGCGATGTCTCGGGCCCAGCGGGTGGGAGGCGCGGGGTGGGGGCGGGGGGAGGCCGCCCAAGCCCTCACCCTGACCCTGTCTCCTCCGGTCTCCCCAGGTTCCGAGCTCGCCAGGCCGCGCCGCGCCATGCCGGCTGGCTGAGCGCCGTCGCAGGGCCTCGTCCCGCCTGGCGTGGGGGCCGCGCGCGCCCAGGCCCGGGCCAGGCGGCCGACCATGGTGCTGCCGCCCCCGGACCGGCGCCACGTGTGCCTGACCACGCTGGTGATCATGGGCAGCATGGCCGTCATGGACGCGTACCTGGTGGAGCAGAACCAGGGCCCGCGCAAGATCGGCGTGTGCATCATCGTGCTGGTGGGCGACGTGTGCTTCTTGCTAGTGCTGCGCTACGTGGCCGTGTGGGTGGGCGCCGAGGTGCGCACGGCCAAGCGCGGCTACGCCATGATCCTGTGGTTCCTTTACATCTTTGTACTGGAGATCAAGCTCTACTTCATCTTCCAGAACTACAAGGCGGCGCGGCGCGGCGCGGCGGACCCCGTGGCGCGCAAGGCGCTGACGCTGCTGCTGTCGGTGTGTGTGCCCGGCTTGTTCCTGCTGCTCGTGGCGCTGGACCGCATGGAGTATGTGCGCACCTTCCGCAAGCGCGAGGACCTGCGCGGCCGCCTGTTTTGGGTGGCGCTGGACCTGCTGGACCTGCTGGACATGCAGGCCAGCCTGTGGGAGCCGCCGCGCTCCGGGCTGCCGCTGTGGGCCGAGGGCCTCACCTTCTTCTACTGCTACATGCTGCTGCTGGTGCTGCCGTGCGTGGCGCTGAGCGAGGTCAGCATGCAGGGCGAGCACATCGCGCCGCAGAAGATGATGCTCTACCCGGTGCTCAGCCTCGCCACCGTCAACGTGGTGGCCGTGCTGGCGCGCGCCGCCAACATGGCACTCTTCCGCGACAGCCGCGTCTCGGCCATCTTCGTCGGCAAAAACGTGGTGGCGCTCGCCACCAAGGCCTGCACCTTCCTGGAGTACCGCCGACAGGTGCGCGACTTCCCGCCACCCGCGCTGGCGCTGGAGCTGCAGCCGCCACCCCCGCAGCGCAACTCGGTGCCACCGCCTCCGCCGCTGCATGGCCCGCCCGGGCGCCCCCACGGGTCCTCGCCCACTCGTGACCCCCTGGACACGTGACAGGGCCCGCCCCTGGGGCACAGAGACACGGCTGGCTCGGGGGGCGCGGTTTGCATGGGATGGGGTGGGGGCGGGCTCCCCTAGGGGCAGGTGCCTCGAGTGCCAGTGCCTGGGGTCCCGCGGCCACTTCTTCATCTCAGGAATCCCTCGGACCGCAGATCCTCAGCCCTCACTCCACCAGCCTGCCCCAGAGGGTGGGGCCTTTTGGAAGGCCTGGGCTGGAGCAGAGCAAAGGGGCCCGGTCCCTGCCTGCTGGGCCGCCTGGGTTGGAAGGGAGGGCAATGTGGGCGGAGAGCTGCTCCCGCAGTGGGGGCCTCTGGCTCGGAGTTTGGGGCCAAGGAGGCCTCTGTCATTTTAAAGACTCTATTTACAGTTTTGTATACAAGGCCGCACTGCTTCGCCTGTTCCTGTGTCCCTGTCTTTACCAGCCAGGCTGGGAGGCCAGGAGCCAGGAGGGCTGTGTGGAGGGCGGGGGAGATGCTGGCCTCCCAGTGCGGGATGCTAGTGGGGCTGGGCCGCTCCCCTCACTCCGGGGCCTCACCAGCTCCTGGGGGCCATGCCACTCTGTTTCAGGACCAGCTCCTCCTCCCCAGCCTCAGTGTTCCACTTCTTTTTCTGGGATACCTAACCCCGTCTTCCCCCAGCCCCATGGGTGTCCTGGTCCCTGCTTCCTCCCAATCTCAGTGCCGGTGTCCCCACATCCCTGGTTCCCCCCCACCGTGGAACCCACCTTCCTCGTGAGCTCCTCCAGCAGGTGCTCCTAAGTTGATGTGGCAGCCCCAGGTCGCAGCCCCAGGAACAGCACCGACCCTTGCCCACCCCACCATCCTGGCCTTGCCCCAGCACTGGGGAGCTGGAAGTCCCCGGCCCAGGTACCCACCCGGAAGGTTATCTGCAAGGGATCTCTCACCAGCCTTCCCCTGGGCACCTGCACCTGTGATGTGACCCTGGGGACCCACGTGGCCCAGGAAGGTCAGTAGCATCTGAGGAGGAGGGGCCCTTTGTGAGGCCGCTGAAAGGGTTGTGTGAGGATGCCTGCCCTAGGAGTGGGTGATGACCACACACATCTCTCCTGGCACAGTTCACTGCCTGGACCTTCGCATCTCCATGGCCCACTGGCGGCAGGTTTTGCCATCCTAGCCTAAAACTGTCTAGGGGAGTGGAGCTGGCTGCTCAAGCAGGTCCTCCCCACGAACCCCTCCCAGCAACTGCAGCAGTTAAGGGCATGGCTGGTGGTGGCCCCAACCCCACACAGTCCTCGTCCCCCAGCTCGATGCCACCTGGGGCCTGGCCTTTGGGAGTTGCTTGCCTTCCAGGCAGCTGGCCTCGGTACCACTGTCCTCAGGTGCCCGGGGACCACCTCCCTGCCCAAGTCAGATGAGGCTGGCGCTCTACCCACCTCCAAACCCATGCCTCAGCCCGCCTCCGGCCATGCCCCCAACAGCCCCTCTGTGCGGGCACCAGGAACTGGCCTGGGTAGGAGGCCTAAGGTGCCCAGTTCTGGGCTGTGCCAAGACCACTAATGATCATGTTGGGAAGTGAAGACTCTGCAAGGTCAGGGGGGCAGGGGTGGGGGTGGGTCAGGAGGGTGGAGGTCGGGGGTCAGGGGTCAGGTGGCTGGGGCTGGGGAGGGGCAAGGAGCAGCCCTGGAAAGGCCCCAGGCATGGTATGGAGAGCAAAGAGGGGCTGTGGGAGTTGCGGTGGGCCGTGGGGGTCCCTGGGCCTTCTTGGAAGAGTGTGGTCTGGAGTGGGGGGCTGTGGGTGAGGAGCAGGCTTCATTCTGTGTGTCCCGGCTGTAGCCTATGTCCTCCTTTGGCCAAAGCCAGCGCTGGCCCCGTCGTGTCTTAAGGGTCTCCTGGGTGAAGACCAGCCCTCAGCCCTCTTGGCTCTGGCACCTGCAGCAAATCCCATGGGAACAGATGGGCAGCTGGCCCTGGGCTAGTGGGGCTGAGGGGCTCTGGGCTCCTGACATCCTGCTCCGACCCTTCCTGAAGGCCCATGGTCTCTTCCCTGCTGGCTACGGTCTGGGAGGTGGTAGGCCCAGCTTGGCCTGTGAAAGCCCATGTCCCCTAGTCAGAGGTGGGATGGCCGCCCCTGGTTTAGCCACGCCCGTGGCTTAGCTATTCCCCTGGCTCAGCTACTCCCCTGGTTAAGCTACTCCCCTGGCTCAGCTACTCCCCTGGCACAGCTACTCCACTGGTGCAGCTACTCCCCTGGTTTAGCTACTTCCCTGGTTTAGCTGCTCCCCTAGCTTAGCTACTTCTCTGGCCTAGCTATTCCCCTGGCTTAGCTACTCCCCTGGCACAGCTACTCTCCCCTGGCTCAGCTACTCCCCTGGTTTAGCTACTCTCAGGGAAGGGAAGGTCCTGGGGCTCGAAGACCCCACCAGGCAACCTGCCCTGCACACACCCCACTCCTGGCCTGTTCAGGGGTGGCCCCTGATCTCCATGCTCCTTGGCACAGGCCAGTGCCCCTACCTCTGCTCCCACATCCCCAGCAGTGAAGGTCCAAGTCCTGGCTGTCCTCCGCCTCCAATGGGGCCAGGGACCTGGCTCCAACAGCTCTGACGTGGTTCAACGGCCCATCGGCCCCTATGACTGACTCTGAGGGCATTAGAGCAGACGTCAAGCGCTACCCTTGCCCAGGCCCACACCTGGCACCCAGTTTCCGTGATGAGGAACAGCCATGGCTCCGACCACGGCAGGACTGGGAACCAGTGGGCCTTTGCCAGGCTCGTGGCCTGAGGTTTCTGGCCTCTGGGATGTCCCCTGGGAACAGGATGGGGACCTGGCTGTACTCCAGCCTGCCCTTCTCAAGTGTCCTGAGGTGTCCTGCAATGGCCAGATTCGGCAGAGAAGCCAGCCGGCCCCCTTGTCCCCTCACTGATTCCTGGTCAGTATGTGAATCCTGATGCATGTCCACTACCTGCTGGCCCTGTGCTGGGGCCTGGTGCCCAACCCAGGCAGAGACACCTGGGGACAGCCACACTGAGGGGGGTTAGGGCCTGGGAGGAGCAGGGCAGCCTCCTCAGATGGGCTTGGGGTGGACTTGGGAGCTGGTCCCAAGGGAGGCCTGCAGGTGCAGCAGCTGGGAGGCGGAGAGCTGAGTGTGTCGGTGCCTGAGAGGGCTTCAGTGGGCAGCTCACCAGCAAAGGGAGCCCAAAGGGCCCGAGGGAAAGTGGGCAGCTCAGGAGAAGGAGGTGGGGCCGGGATGCTGACCAGTGTGGATGGAGATGCAGCTGGGTGCACCAGCCTGGTTTGGCTGGAAAGGGAGGCATGGGTGTAGGGGAGAGAATTGGGCAGCGGAGGTCCTGTCCGGGAAACGCTGTCTGCAGGCTCTCTGCTCCCTCTCGTGGCCTGGCCTGCCTCTACGCCACCCGATGCCTCCCTGCCTTGCAGCCCCTGCCTCCCCAGCAGGGCCAGAAGCCGCCTGCCTGGTCCTCCCCTTAGCCCTCTGAGGACAGGAGAGTCCATGAAGGGCCAGAAAAGACCACCCTGTCTCTGGATACGCAGCAGCCTGTGCTGCCGCCCCGGAGTGGGGTGTGCCATTCTCCCAGCTTGAGCTGTGCCATTCTCGCAGCTTGAGCTGTCGTGGAAAGGGACACCCCACTTCCAGATGACAGGGTTCTGCCTTGTCTGAGATGCTCACCAAAACGCCCGTGTGTGCTCCTTGCCTTGACACACTTGAGGCCCGGGGGCCTGGCCTGGCCATGCAGTATGCATGCCCACCATAATGCCACCACCACCAGGAATTCAGGTGCTGCCAAAGCTGTGCCAAGAAAGCCGCAGCCCAGTGGGCTCCCCTAGATGAACGAGAGTGTCAAGGACACCACACAGTGTAGCTGCGAAGACATCGTCAGGCCACTCTGTGGAAGTTTGAGGCAAGCCCTTGGGGGTCACCTGGCCATGGAGGGCCCAGGCGTGGCCTGTCTTTCTTTGCCATCTGGGTGGGTTGGTGATGGGGCCACACCAGTGGTGAGCATCACATTGTCTCAAAACAGCATCCGCGTGAGGGAGGGAGGCACAGCTCCTCCTTGGGTGCCTCCCTCTTTTTGGGAGGAAAACCCTTCTTGGAAGCCCCCAGAATGTGTCTGCTCAGGTCCTGTGCTCCAGAGCTTGCTCCACGACAAGCTATACACTTCCGCTGGCAGGAGAAGTGGGTGCCATGACTGGCCACCCACCCACAGGTGAGTCCGTGGTACCATGGATGCAGCAGAAGACACGAGACTCCTGGGTCTGAGACAAGGGCTTTGTTTCTCAGCAACAGCTTCAGCTGTGGCTCCTCTTGCCCACAATCCCATGGGGGTGATGGGAGTGCCTGGTGATACAGCACACACAGCTGATGGGAGTCCACCCTCCCTCTGCCATTACCTAGGAGGCCCCAACGTGACATCAAAAATACTCTGCAACTTGGCCCAGGTTCAAATTCTACAAAAGCTGTGAACTTGCAAATTGCCTTTGATCATGTAAGAGCCATCATCATGATCAATTCCTTTCTACATAACGCCAGCACATATTTAACACCCCCCCCAACAAAGCAGTTTCCAGTTTAGCCTGCTTGCCAGCAACCCAGCCTCCAGCACGTGTCAGCAATTCTCTTCCTAGGTGATTCCAGCAGCACAGCCTGGCAGCCCCTGAGTCCTTGGGAAGTTCTGCAGCTCGGTTTACCCAGGGCCGCGCTGGCCAAAGCCCCAGCCACTCTCCTTTACTGCAGAGAGTGGGAACGTGTCCCCCTCCAGCCCCCTGGAACAGTAGGGCTGGGAGCTGGGTCAGACCCACCTCTACCTGCTTGTGGGAAGACACGTGAGAGTCTAATCACACTACAGACGCAGGATCAGTCACCCAAAAAGATAAAAAGTACTCGAACTTCTGACCCTTCATCTTCCTTCCAGAGCACACTCACATTTTCTATAGGAAAACAGCCTCATGATAATAAAAACCCAGTTGAGTGAAATTGAACTCACTTATCTTAATCAATAAGAAAGCCAAACATACGTGATTCGTTTTATGCAGTAAAGTGACGGAGATGCACTAATTGGTAACTGCAGAGGAAAAAGCCGGGAGAATCACTGCCAGAGGAACGGTGGCCTGGGCTGGCAGGGGCAGAGGCTGCAAAGCCACATTCCCGCCCTGGCTGAAACACTGGCTTCATTTGTTGTAAACACAAGGCAACTGCTGTTTAACCAGAGAAAGATGAAGGGTAGAAACATCCCCCAGTCAGAGGATGTCAAGGAGGCCTCTTCTTGGGCCTCAGCCTGCACTGGGTGTGAGGGCCGAGGGTGCAGAGGGTCAAGAGATGGGTGAGGAGAGGGTAGAAAAGGCAGTGGGCAGGTGGGGGGGAACACCAGAGGGAGGCAGACGGGGGCAGGAGGAGGAAGGGGCCTGGGTGCCAG